CCGCTTCAGCAGCTGTGAAGACAGAGCACAGGCGCAGTGCATGAATGCAATTTGCCGAAAAATGATTCTGATGAAGCAATTTATGTAGACAATCAAGGTGGCCTGTGCCATCATAGACCATGAGTGTGGCGCTTATGGCCATGGAGGTTCACCATGTCCAAACTGTATTTGATTGTATTTGTGTTGCAATTCCAGTTTTGTCGTTGTTTGGGGACACATCTCAGCTTCAAGCGTCTTTGGCACCAATACATCACTTGAAACGACGCGTTCAGCAGAAACTGCGGGAACAGCAGGTGACACCAGCCGCGCGAAAGGCTCGAAAGTCCAACGGAACCGGGTGATGCTATTTCTGTGCTCCCTGGGCCTTACTGAACCTATGGCAGAATAGCAAGCGAGTAACACAGACCCCTGGATGAGCGAGCGTGCAAGGGGCATCATGAAATCATATGGCATATATGGTTTGCTATCGGCTTTTGGAGATGAAGTTGGGGTTTCTATGTAGGCACTTGTTCATTAAGTTTTAGCAATGTGCAAATTTCCGTGCTGGGGATGAAGACATTTCATCCAAACTGCTGTTGGAACCCAGGTTGGCCAGTCATTTGTGGCCTTTGAAAGGCTTGCGCCACTGGGCCAATAACAAGGGTCAAATGGCTCAGGTGTGCACCGCTGGGAGCGCGTTTATCCCCGAATGAAATAGATCACGGACCTAGATGTTTCAAGATCAGAGAGAGGGTACTGTCACAGTTTGTTGGAGGTTCTTAATTTGGATTAAACTTGATGTGGGTGCTCGAGGGTGTGGGGCGCAACTGGGCATTTGTTTGTTCAAGGACATGTATTTTTGCGGGGATCATCTCTGGCAAAATTCAATATTGGAATTTGGAACGCAGCCGTGATACGCATAAATATAGTCATGAATGTGATAAATTGGTCTCATTTGGTCGCACTACTCGTCGCTACTGGTCACTAGTATAGATCATGGAATGACATGGACAGGTGCGGTCCCGTTGCAGAGGGAGTTCCGCGTGGCATGTCTATGACCAACAAGTTGGGTTCACGTACAAGACTCAAAGGACCGAGGGCATGTTGAATCATGTTGGATTCTTCAAGCCGGCCATGGCATGCCATGGTGAGTTTTTCTGGTGTTCAGCACAATAACGTGGATGGTGCACCGACTCGGTTAGATGCCGGAAGAAGTGGTGAACACAAGCGAACAGTCTAGCTTAGTGAGGGCGGCCTTCGGTTCAGAGCACAGGCTCGCTGTTCTATGGATAGCTTCCCGTGTGAACCCTTAGAGTTTTCGATCAAGAGTTGTATCTATCGTCTATTCCTGGTGGGCATGGAGCAGATCAAGCGCAAGGTTTCGGGACTTGAAAGCGTCGGAACAAGTTGGAAAAGGGTTCTTGGCCTTGGTCCCAGGTAGATGCTATGTGGTGGGCACTTGCTCCAGCAAGGAGAACTACGGATCCCGTGGCTGACCCCAGGTTTGTGTGCCAAAACACCGTCAAGAGTGGTGTTTGGGTCCAGATCAGTTGGTGTACAGTTGGACTGAAGTTGGACTTGAACTAGGTTTGTGTACGGTAGTCATAGTCGCCGGTTGGTGTACGGTAGTCGCCAACACCGCCAACTGTCCATTGAACATGTGCACAGTTGGACGACAGTTTGCTGGTGAAGGTGGGCCCCCTTGGCTCAACTGAACTCGGCCACCACGAAGCCAATATCCCGGATGGCCGTTCCGATCAACCAAGAATGCAGTCAGTGCATTTTCCTGGGCATGTGTTGGGGCTCCTCTCGTAACTGCATTTAGGGTGTTTGGAACGATCAAATTTGCTGGTTGAAACTTGACACCTGTCAGAATTCCGCTACAAACGCAGCCTTCAGGAGCATGTGCATCCCAAACTCTTGGAGCTCTTTCACGAGAACCTAGCTCCTAGCTCCTTGTGTGGTCGGAGTCAACGGGGAAGGATCTTGTTATTTTGGGCCCTGCATCTCAGGAGCTGGTGGAGTTACAGTTACCATGGGCTATCCGTTTTGATTTTGGGTTCATGGCAGCCAGGGAGCTTGAAGAGACAACGGGACTGGCAACATCTACTAATATATATATATATATATACCTGATTCATCCTGATTCAGGACAGTCCGGGACTGGCCTGGAGCAAGCGGTTCTATTTACTCGGCAGGCACCTGCTTCACTTTGGACTCAAAGATATGGGCACCAAGAACCGAAGAAGGCGCGGCTTTGAGCCGTCGCCGACGGAGGAACAAACAGCGGCAGATTCAGGTCAGAGAGATCCAGACCCTCCATGTATGGAAGATACATGCCAATCAGTTGACCCCCCAAACCACTCCAATGTAGGCAAATATGGCATACTGTACATGGAGTGTTTGGGATATGACGTGTGATCAGTAAGTTTCCCACGGTTCACGGAAGAGTCTTTCCCTTGGGTTTGGGACCTAGCTGAGCGGCTGTTGGCAGCCCTTGGTGGAAAGTGATGTTTTTAGTACATATATAGTTGTCTAATTCTGCACTGCTATCGCCTGTGTGAAGTTGCCAGAGCCAAGACTCCCCATGCAAGGATTGCGCACTGCTTGGAGCTCCAAGCCAAGCACAGGGCTTGAAGTCTCAGGGCTTCACGGTCTTGCGGCCTGTCGCCACTGGCCACCTAGGTGGAGCTTCCCTCTTTGGGCTTTGGGCCGGCGCGAGTGGCGGCGCCACCGCGGACGCCCGGAGCGAGCGAGGGGCAAGAAGTGTTGCTGGGGCGAGAGGCGCTGAAGGAGGAGTTGCAGACGAAACTTGGCGCCGGAGAACGACTGATGACGCAAAATGGTCACAGATAGCTTAAGGTCAGATAGGTCGGGGTAGGAGGAATGTGTAAGCAGATATGGAAGCTTTAGCAGAACCATGAAGAACCCAACTGATTGCCCCTAGCAGCTAGCATGGCTTGCACTTAAGTGCCAGGGCTTGAAAGGAGGACTTAACTTTTTAGATCCCATGGTAGATTTCTCACAGGAGGCTCCTTCAGCATCATGTCTTATCACTGAAATCATCCACTGACGTCGTAATCATGTCAAACGTCATTGGGGACTTGTGTGCATGCCCCAGTAACTTGTGTTCTTTAATCTTGGGAAAAGGGTGTGCGGCCCACAATGGAAATGTGCCAGATGCCTCGTTTTGTGCAAAAGTGTATACAGGCTTTGTTTGTAGGATCAATGATAAGGAAACTGTAAGATACTGCAAGAGTTAGGCTTAGAATTTCTTCAACCTTTTCTTTTTGAAAAGACGCCGTTGCCGCTGTCTGAGGTTGAAAGTGCATGGTTGAGATTGGTTTTCAAATCCGTCACGGACCCATGCAAGCCATATGAGCGAAGACTTTCTCAAGCCGATGTGAAGCAAGTAACAGGATGGGTCATTTGGCAAAACCTGATGTTCCAAGTGTTTTCTTACAAGGGGAAGCCTGCAACAGCTCCAAACAAAAATGGCGCGAAGTTCTTTGTTCCCCACGTTTTAGCTGTGTCGATGTGGGTGTCGGAATCCCCTACTTGGGACCCCCCAGTTCCCCACACTGTTCCCCACATGAAAGGATGGCCTTTGAACATGAAGCGTGCCATCCTACAGCAAGCTGTTGCTGAGCCAGTTCAGAGCAGATGGCATTGGGTACCCAAAGAGATCTTTCAGCTGGGGATCCATACAAACCACCAAACTTGGGGTCATGAGAGTGCCACTGGTCCTCTCAATCCACTCAGAATCCACACCTTTCGTCCTGTCCCCTCCAGACGACCTCCGTTCCAACCCTCAGGACGGTGGTCCAGTATTTTACCTCAGCCACTTGTCCGAAGCGGGGCCGGGCGGACTGCCGGTCAAACTGGACAGGTCTTGGAGTCGGCACTGAAGAGATGCATTTGCAATATCAAGACACAATAAGACAACACGTGGATGAATGTCCATGTCTTTCTGCTACCAGCACCAACGATCTTCTCCATCTCTTTTTTTGCGTCTTTCTGCTACCAGAGACTGGCCCCGTTGAAAGCGTAGGTCGCTCGGCGTCGTCCGCGGTCTGCAGGTGGAGACCTTCCGAGCCATGGGAGTCCAATGGCCTCCACGGACCTTGCTCCATGGGCCGTCGGGCAGCGGCAAGACGCAGCTTCTGCGGTGGCTGGCTGATCGGGTGGCTTGGGCACCCGTTGGTGGAGATCTGGAGACCAGGATGAGATCGAGTTTATTAGACCGCGTTTGTATACCCATGCTAGAAATCATGGAAGAGAATCACTTCTTAATACTTCTGACCTTCTGACCATCCATGGGACGGGAATAGTTGCGTGCAATTGCATCTAATTAGGGTGGGGTGAATCATGTGCACTCCCTGAAACAAGCATGGACGTGGAACATGACCCCGAAAGGAATACTGTTGTCCGAACACTGAACAGGCCGTGCTATTGAATCACTGGGGGTGGCGGCAAGATCTATGGGCCTCCAGTCAGATCTACAGGGCCACACCGTTTTCAGGGTTCAATATCACATTCCCAGGATCATCCAATGGGTGTCCAATGGGCATCTCTAATTACTAGTACTGTAGAGCATTGTAGGGTAGTCATGAGTAGTCCATTTCAAAAGATTGGATGGTCGGATGCTCCTGTTTTTTTCTTTGGAGTTCACTCAGGTGGCGCCCTACGCAGAGGTCACCTGGCTGCGGCCCGCAGAGGTGTTCTCCCGGTACTTGGGCGAAAGTGAGGTGCGCCGAGCAGTTTCGGTCGACCAGGAGAGGTTTCAAGGGAATAGACCTGCATGGGAGGCCAAGCGGGACATTTGGCCAACAACGAGAAGAAGGGGTTTGTTGATGTTTGTTGATGTGATTTTCATTGTTTTTCTATTTCCTGGTGCACGCATGAAAAACTTTATAGAGGTGGAACTTTTTGAGCAGACAGATCCACGGTGGACCATGTAAACTCCATCCTTCACCGCCAGGCAGGTGCAGGGTCACCAAAGGATACCCCTCAATTTGCAGTTTGTTGGGGCTGAAGTTGGTAGAGCCAGTGATGCTTTTCCTTCAGTACCCAGTGCCCGTAACATGCCATCATCATGCATCCAATTCCAACTGTTGCTCTAGGCTAGCCTTTAGAGGTCTCCTATGGTCCCCCATATATCACACATTCCCTTGCTCTATCCAGCCTTAGGGTTGCCCCAGCCTTGGGGTGTGCCCCTTGTCCCCGCGAGCTAGCTCGGTCTCCTCGCGCCACAGGAGCGGCTGCGCAACGCCTTTGCAGCGGTCCAGAACCTTGGGCGACCGATCGGGGTGGAGGGGTCGACCAGACCTCAACCTGCCCCGAGGATGGTTTTGGACAGATGGAATTTGGGCGCGATTGGACATTTGGAGTGTCCGCTTTTGAGATGTTTTTTGGGGTGCATTGAGTGGGTTGTGAATCACACGATGGTTGTGAATCACATGACGCCGTTTGTCTCAGAGGCATGCTTTGACATGACATCAGGCCCCATGGCCAAGTATCTAGGAAGACGAGGGCATTTGGCATTTCCGACGAAACTTGCTGGCGGTTTTGCCTACCAATCGCGAGTTCTCGTGCTCGGCAGATTTTTGAGAAATTGGTTTGTCACCATGACGCCACACTGTGGGACAGTCCACATTCTGGGGCTTTGAACGAGAAGCTGGCGCCAAGTAGTCCAACTCATCAGCAGTCTCATCAGCCTTTGAGACCACCGAGACCGTTCGAACGTGAACTGGGAGCCATTCGGTGAGACCGTTCGCTTCTCACTCACATGGATTGAAGTACCTGGGCGGATTCACCGAACGCACCCTTCGGACCAGTCCCACCACGCACCGTCTCGCTGCATCTCTCTGGTTTCGCACCGTCGCGTCGCCCGTTCGCCCGGCCGGTCCGGCGGAGGAACAAAGAGGCGGCAGTGCTGATACTGGAGGGCCTTGACGAGTCACTCAGATTTCCACGTTTGTACTGCTGTACTGCGACGGGGATGTCGGACTGCACGTGCGAGTCGCCGAAACCTGAGCGTACGTGGGCGGTGGGGCGGAGCCTTTTTTGGGCTAGTAGAACATATAATATAGAGAGAGGTTTGCAACAGATGGCAACAGATAGGCAAAGACAAAGCATTTGCAACATCACAGTTTACTCAGCTTGAGCGCAGAGAAGGACAGCCAAGTGACTCGGCCTTGCATGAAGTCCTGGAAGTCCACAGAGTTTGTTTCTGAGATAACTTAACTCACCAATTGGTTGGAGTCTAGCCCAAAGATCTTTCAGAGATACTGTACCTTTGGGGTTTTAGAAGCCATCGATATACTGATATACAAAAACAAACAAGCAAACTATATAACCAACCAACCAACCAACCAACCAACCAACCAACCAACCAACCAACC